TACAATTTTGTACTAAGTTAGTACAAAGTTGAGACACTTATTTTGGGACAGAGGGAGTACTAAAAAGACGTACTTCGTTCAACCTTACGTACGTTTCCTCTTCCCTTTCTCTGTTTGATTTTTTTTCTCTCCGATCTTTGTTTTTTTCACCAGTTTTACTTGAAAACCATCTTAACTGTCTCGACTTACCAAATAAAATTATGTATTCTTTGGTAAGTTAATAAATTCTTACCAGATAAAATCCTAAAATTTATTAGGTAGGTAAATCACAGGCAGGTACACATTTATTTATACAATCACATTAATATGTGAAGGTAAATCACAAACTAATGTACTAGAATATTTATATCATGTTGCAATGCACAAGCATTATCTAGCATATCTATAAATACATAAAAATATTTAAGATAAGCGATGTAGAACAATTATAGCAGATTCCCTAAAACGCCCTACTGTTTAAATTTTGTCCAAAATGTGGCAGAATTATGCATTTATTTAAAAGAAAAATCTGGAATCTGCTTGAGTTACTCTCAGCTTATTTGAGTTATGCATACCTCTATAGGATCATCGATATGGAGTATTCGGTCTTTCTTGTTCTCCACACAATGTTCGGCCACCCTCTTCTCTTCTGTAATGATAATGATACAGCATTTTGTTGTGTCCGACAAGAAGTTCTTCTTTATGGTGTCCCATTCCTTGCTGGACTTTAGACCGGTAATAACAACTAGGCTGTCTTCACTCAGAAGCTTCCTGCAACCTTCAACTAGTTCTTGCTCTTTCATCCCCCAAAGTATACTCATACCACAATAATAAGGATCACATTCTACAACATTTGAAGAAAGATCTTGATATAACTGCCGAGAGAAGTGTTCCAAATTGAATGGATGGAGCACATGAACCCATCTGTACAACCGAAATGCCAGTCCATCAAATACTTCCTTCTTTTGCACTATACTATGGAACAGCTTTCTGACCATAACCGATTTTCTCTGACCGATTCCAAACACAGAGAATACACCACGACATTTTACTCGCCATTTAAGTTCACCCATATCATTGCAATACCCAGGGACCTGAGTGATAAAACACAAACATTAGATCAGGGATGAGGCGTACAGCGGAGACATACGTAAATAAATTATCCAATTATTTTGCTGGTTTATGAATACAATGCCCTCCCATGGGCGAGATTATGCACTCCCCTTGACAACATTAGCTAATAAGCCTAGTTTGGTTCAGGTTAAGAGTTGAAAGATAGGTTTAATCGGCAAAATACATGAGTTATCAAGCGTTGTTATGGTTATTTTGTTCGGTATTATGCTTTTTAGCCCCAAATCTGTGCTGGAGTATCTCAAAAGAGTTCAGATTATTTAACCTGGTTCTACACCAAAATGGACAAGTCAGTGTCCACTTGATGAACATCGGCATTGGAATAACGTTGGACCAATAATGCATAGGTGCTTATGGAAGCTAAATGTACTATTGCATATTAAGACGGTTCCATAGGCGTAATACCGACAACTCCCTTCATTTCAAGTTACTTGTTGTTTTAGGTTTGTCCAAAATTAATCCTTTCAAAGTTTGAACAAGTTTACAAAAAATTGTACCACCACCTAACACTAAATTAGTGTCGTTTGATGGATTGCGAAACATGTGTTCACAATATATTTATTTTGTGTTGTAGGTGTTGATATTCTTTTATAAGCTTGGTCAAACATACAGAAGTTTGACTTAGGACAAAGCTAATTAAAACAACAAGTATTTTGAAACGAGCTAACACTCTTTCAAGATGAAATAGACAAAGGGAGCGAAAAGTGTTGCTTATGTAGTTATGAATCATGAGGGAACGGTAGTAATCTTTTTCCTGACTACTCCTTTATGAACTATAATGTACTTACTTTTACAGCATGGTACAATAATTGGAGTCTTCCATCAAAACTTCGCTTTAACATTATTCAAAGCCAATTTTCGTAATAAGTACAGTATATTAGATTTTGATAAAATAGAAAATCAATGGTACAATATCAATTATGACGCTATCTTGCGGGGCCCCTTTTATTTTTGCCAAGTATGGGCCCGAGAAATAAGACTCACAATTGTGACTAGCTTAATAAAAAATTCGTAGAAAATTGATGGTTGCGTTCCATGTTAATGGGCTTACCTTCCTCGAGAAAGCACAAAGGGAATGACCATCGGAGAACCGGCTGAGCTCTGAAACTAATTTCGGCTCCTCTGTGCACGAAAGTGCAACCCCTAGCTGTGTTGACACGACAATCTGGCTACCATTTTTACTGTCCAGAAAGTGCATTTTGATGGCATCCCACTGCATCACAGTGGATACTTCTTCCAGGATGATGAGATACCTCTGCGTGATCATATATTGCTTGAGCTTGGCCTTCATATCAATGTCTGCACCTACTTTTGCTTGATGATAGCTCAGGTAGAACTGAGTCAACAAGCTCTCCAGAAACTCATCAGGGTCAAAGGGATGCTTCAGCTTTACCCATGCACGGCACTTGAATTCTTCGCAGATCTTTGGGTTAGTGTACACCTCCCTGAAGATGGACGTTGTTCCAAGATCACCTCCTTTGCTTCCCCATACTGAGATCACTTGCAAGTCATTGCCTTTACGGGTGATCAACTCTTGGAGGTCACCCGTTTCGCGTCGCTTCCCAGCATCCTCCCACACTTTCCGTAGCATGTGGAATGCTGCTGTGCCAGTAGTGACCATGGCCGACGAGATGGCCTCGGGTCCAGAGTCGCTCACCAGATGGTGGTAGCGCGTGTTCCTCTGGCTTACATCCTCAACCCTGGACTTGAGCTGCTTTATCTCCGCGACCGCCTCGTCTAGTGGCAGGGGCAGTGCATTGCAGCGCACCGTGTGCCACACGCGCGGCAAGCATGCCCACCAGGGTGACTTGTAGTCAAGGTGGACGACCAATTCGACACAGTCCTCAACATCAAAGGCCAGGTTGCGGAGCTGCCTCACCCAGGTCCGCATCACTTCATTCTTGGTGCGCTCCTTGTTGGCGATCTGGAGAAAGGACTGCATCACCTCAAACTCGCCGGTGATGAACACCAGGTCGTTCTGCATCTTTTCCTTGAGATCGGCCTCCTCCTCTATCGCCGACTTGACCAAGCTCACCGTCCCCTCCACAGCCGTCTTGGTCAACCCAAGAGCAAACTCCGCCATTGTTGCACTCTCAGTTTCACTCTCCTCTTGTGTTTGTGTTCCGGATGTGATGTAGCTAGCAAATTACGATGGCTAATGCTCCGAGTTGTGCATCGACTCAGCACTTGGAGATGGAGTTATAAAAGGAGGATTGGTAAGCTGCAAGTTGGCAAAGTTGGACATTGTTAAACCAGACTTGGAGGAGCTCTTCAAAATAAATCAATTTAATTAACCTGAATGATTTGACTTTCTTTGCCCATCGTGCAAGCAAGTTGATGTAACATGGATCTATATATGTGAGCACCAAAAAGTGAATGTGCCAGTTCAAATCAAAAGGCGCCAAACAGTTCTTCACAAATTACTAGCCTAGTAATTCAATAAGGACGAACAACACCAAACATTTCCCACAGGTTATTCATCTTTTATAAGATTGAATACCATTTGAACTTGTTTTTTTTTGCATATATATTCCTCCTACAGAAAATATTTGAGATATATAACTCAAATGCTAAGATGATTGCCTTAGAGTTAGGGGCTGTTTGGATTGTGACTATGTTTGCCTTATATTGCCACATTATTTTTGCCACACTTGCCTAACTTGAGTTCCTCAAATTGTTAGCCACACTTTGGTTTGCCTAAGAAAATCTTGCCACACTTTCTGTGTCTATGACATGTGGGATTCACTGCTAATAAAAAAATTCTTGCCTTAAGTGTGGCTAGAACCAAACACCCGCCTAACTCGGTCAAACTTGCCTAAGATGAGGTATGGCAAAGTGTGGCTAGAAACCAAACAACCCCTAAGGCTGGTCATAGTGGGGAGTAATTAACTTATACTAGTGTCATGCATATGACACTAGTCTAAGTTACTACCTTCATAGTGCAAAGTAACATACTAGTAGTGTCATATGTGGCTTCATTTAATGGCTTGTAGACTCATCTTGTCTTGGGAAGCGCTATGTTACAGTAACATAGTATTATGTTACCACCTCTCATTAACTACATGCCACATAAGCAAAATTTTCTTGGAGTGCACTATGTTACTAGCTAAGTTACTCCCACTATGACTAGCCTAACTCCTATGACCTGTCACGGTCAATACTGCATTAATTTGGATGCAATCTGGACGCACACCCTAGGCATGACACAGAACACAATGAACAGTTCATGTGGATTTATTGCAGTAAGGGGGTGTTTGTTTCCAGGGACTTTTTGGTGTAGGGACTAGAAAAAGTCCCTAGCAAACCAAACAGGGTGGGACTTTTTTGAGACTTTTTGCTAAAAGTCCTTAGAAGCACATCTTTGAGAGTCTTTTTCAAAAAGTCCCAGGGACTAGAAAAAGTCCTAGGACTAGAGAAACAAACACCACCTAAGTGACGAACATCATGTATCCTTCCAGACAACGCATGTGAAGCGTCTCGGGTCGATGAACCAAGTTGAAGTACGCATGCCAAAGCAAAACTTGAAGATACAGCAGAGTCAAAGCATCACATGTATGCAACGCATCGAACAATGGATTCTTCAGGCAATGCATGTGATGCTTCTTGGGCTGATGAAATACAGCAGAGTAGAGTAGACATAATGGGGGCTCAAAATCCAGTGTGAACGCACTGCCCGAGTCTTGTTCCGCCGAGACTTGGGCTCACATGCGACCAAATGTTGGGAAAGTTCATCTCACAAAATTAAAGTCGTCTCGGTAGGGAGAGTTTTCTTCAAAACTTGGGGTAAGGGCCCTGGGTTTTTTCTTTCTTTGTGTAAGAATGAAATTTCCAAGTCACCTAAGGAATAATAGAAATCGGGGAGAAGTCCCTTTCTTAAACAAAAAACCCCAAGGAGAATAGACCTAAAATCAGAAACACGATGGGCTCAACCACTAAAGATGCATATCTCCATACATACACGGCATCGGTTTCTTATTTGAGCCAGGAGAAGTTTCTTCACATGTGACGACGTGTAGCAATCAATCAGCTTTTGCATCGGCATCAGTAAACCTGCATCGGTACTTTAATGGAGTTGATTGAATCTTACATTTGCTAACATGGGGGTACGTCAAACCAAGCAAACTTAATATTCTTATTAAGTCTGTGTTTACTTTGAATTAATTGGCTATCAGCTACAGCTGTCTTGTGTACAGCTAGCATGTTACGTTAGTATGTACTATGACCCCTCAACGAACCCAAAGGGCAAGATGAGCTTAGCAAATTTGGCCATGACTAGATCAGAGTCAACTAATCAAGCCACTACTGCACTCGCTGCATCCATTGATTGATACTCCCCCCGTCCCATAATATAAGAGCGTTTTTGACACTAGTGTATCCTCCAAACCCAAAGAGCCATGTTGTCATGTGGGGCCGGGATAGATCGACTGATAGGAAGAAGGCATATAGGGTCTGGAGTTGGGTACGAGACGGCAGCTGTGAATGTGATGGTCAGTGCTCAACAAGAGCACCATCACAACTGGCTGATGGTAAAAGGACTGGCTAGTCGTTGTTGCCCTTAGAGTAGTGGCTACTTTCCGATAATTAAATATAGCTCCAAGAGTAGCTAGTCTAATCTTCTTCAACAATGCCAAAGATATAATTTTCATCGTTCATCTGTCCTTCATAATCTGGGTAAAAAAGAGTGCACATCAAGACCCCGAGAGCAAGTTCTTGATTGGGGTTGATCTATAAAGCGATGCGAAAGACTATTCCGAGACCTCGAGAACAATGGCAAACATTGGGCTTTATTCAAACAAAATTCATGGCTCCATAGTAGACAAAATGAAGCAGCAAAAAAAAAATGAACCCATTGATGTTGAGGACATTGCCTGCTAAGAGTAATGCTACTTAAAACATCCAGAGGTTGATGGTGGACGGGGACGCATACCAGAACCGGCTTACCAGCGTCACGGTGCACGAATCGTGCCAGCATCATCATCGCTGAAGGAGCAAAGAAGGCGATTGATAGGAACCGGAGGCTGATGCTCGACCGCATTGACTTGGTGGCCCCTGTTTCGATACTGCCTTCAGTGGTTTACTGTACATGGTTGCCGGAGTGAAGCTGGTGCTAAGCAGGTGTTTGTAGGGGCCTGGTGTTCCCCACTACTGGGACCTGGGCTCTCAATTTTTCATGAAAGAGCCGTCAAAAACAGTAGGTGTAATTCAATATAACACGCATTGAACAAGGTCTTCAAGACCAACGAAATACGGGTATGTCAGTGCAGATGCTAACAGGCTGAACACTGTAACAACAAGATGCAGATTCAGCAACAACCACATCCTCATCCTCATGACAAAGAGTTTGATGATCCCATACATACCGAAGCTAGTAGTGCCCACCAAGAATAAATCGTCGATTTGCAGATGCAGCAGCGCGTGCAATATGTCAATGAATCTTCAAAGATATCAATAAGATTTACACAGCCTTTGACTCTGCAAGCGCCTTCTTGTGCTATCCCGAGGTACCTATGGTGAAAACCAATTTATCCACATTCAGACCCACACAACACATGGAGATGAATGGAAGGAGCATTGATACTTATGCCTGCCATTATCGAGTGCACGAGCATATTAGCAACATTCGTTCAGTTTATGGACGATGTAGTGGTCCTGTTCAGTTACCTTAATGGATTTTGGCGTAAAAGAAACTTACCTTGATGACTTGGACGCATTCTGTATCAGGTCAGGTTTGATTTTGTGATATGGTTTCTCACCTCCTCGAAGAAATGCACCCCCTCCTCCAGCATCCTGGCATGGCCACATGCCATCAGCAGGCCAAAGTAGGTGAACTCATCAGGTTCCATCATCTGCACCCTCCTCATCCTGTCATACAGCTCAACACTCTTTGCAGACCTTGATCACAGCCCAACCAGCAAATTATGTATAATGGTTGGCTCAACTCAACCGTGATTTACGAATAGCTCTTCTTTTTTGTCAAAGCCCACACCAAACATAATCGTTTCGCACATTTCACCGTGCACAACCAACAGATTTATTCACATAGAAGCATCAGTACACATAATTTTCCAGATAAGATCTAGGATTACAACATGATGATAGATCCTACTAGGAGTATATGTATACATCTTAGCTCTGTGAAGAACCTCAACAACAACCCAATGCTTGTTTTTGCACAACAGCCTCGAAGGATCCAGCCTAACATGGAGAGATACTGGTCCAGCCATTATAAAAAGAAGTATCTTCTCTTCGGAAAAGAAAACTGTTATAGTCTATGTTACACCTTGAATGATGAATGGATCATAGTGCAAAAGGAGGATACCGCAACAAGAACACCAGTCTCCAGTAAGCAAATAAACATAATATATCACAGGACAATGGTTTTTTTGTTCAAATTTCTTCCATCCCCTAATATATCAAACAACACTTGGTTCTGAATATATCAGATTGGCAGAAATTTGACTCGAATTAGAGGCACTAGTTGAGACACAAAACATGCGGTTGTATAGGTATATATATGCTCAAGAAATGGATCAAAGGCTAATTACAACAGTCCGGGAAATATAAATACTGAGGTCTGAATAAATATGCCGAAAAGATGTCATCAGTGTAGGGCTAACAGGGGATGTATCGTTTTCAAGGAAACCCATAAAGATCATTATTCATCTGTTAGTTGGGGACTACTACACAAAGTTCAAGCAGAAAACTTGACACCTTATCGTCTGTTGAAGTGCCTTTAAAGATAACTACCTTTCCCTTTTGTTCCAACAGCCTCAAAGCTCGCATGAGGACACCGCGATCAATTCCCACAAGTTCCGCAACACATGCTACAATACCATAAGACAACTTTACTTTTTCTTTTTGGTGAATTATTATGGCCTATGTATTACTGATGAGTCACCGCCACCAACTTATGTCACCAAATAAGCTTCCGAGAGTGTAGCTGTGCAGGGGAGGTTGCATCGTGGTATGATAGATAGAAGCAGGAATAGGGTTTCCTGAGGATAGCCTCTCGTTTATTCATTTATCGTATAACATAGATTATCCCTAGCTTTATAATCACAATAGATTCTTGTCCAACTAACC